ATTTACTACTAATCACAGAACCGGCTTTACTGACAAGATGCGCATGAAAATCGCATTCGATTATTTGCACAGCCCTACAATAGACTAGTTAATTGTCACTGTAGTGATAGCGACTAGTAGCAAAAGAATAAGTACTAAAATGTAGGGCTGGGTTTTGACACAAATTTCACGATTCGATTCGATTCTCATTCACAAGCATTCGATTAAATTCGATTCCATTCGATTGCCGATTCCATTCGATTCAATGTCGATTATTTTGGATATACAGTGGGTACGGAAAGTATTCAGACCCCCTTAAATTTTTCACTCTTTACTTTATATTGACATATTTGCGTGGCTGAAACACTGACTGAGCGATTACATGAGACAGGATACAGATTGTAAAGTTGTACTCTTTCTTCCAACTTACCTTCGGATGTTTAGTCATGATTATTTTGTGTTGAAACTGGTATTAATGTGGAGGAGATGATCAGTTCACGTGCACCTCGCGCTGCCGCGTCTGTTGAACTGAGGCGCTACAGCGATCTGTCACTCCACATTAAACAGCGCCAAAACGGCATTTATTGTTTGAATACTGCAATACAATGGATATAAATTGAAACCTGAGACTTTGTTTCATATTAAAAGCACCAAAGCACAATGCTTATTGCGATATATTGGATGGGAAGTGCCCTTCAAATGTTCCGTCCATTAACTGAAAACAGGCTACACTAATCGATTCTTGGGACTTAAGAATCGATATCGTTCCGTAAAAAAGAGAATCGATTAATATCGAGATATCGATATTTTTTACCCAGCCCTACTAAAATGTCTTGCAATACTAGTAAACACTGGATTTATCATTAAAAAAAATCAGCACTAGTAATGTATACTACCAATATAAGTACTAGTAACTTAATGTCTACTAGTTAGTGCTAAGGATTAGTTACAGTGGACTAGTTAATTGTAACTATAGTGATGTGGCTGCTAGCAAAAGTACAAGAACGTGTAAATATTAGTGACTAACGGAACAAATATGAGCCATTACTGGAAAAATATCTAATGAATAGTTGCTACTGAAATTGAAATGATTCTAGTAAACATTGGATTACTTACTAGTCATTTACTACACCAAGTACTAGTAAAATATTGCTAATGTATACTATTAATATAAATACTAGTAACAATAGCCCCTTTCACACAGTAATACCAGTAAATTGCCGTAATATTACCGGAACGATTTTACTGGTAAATACAAAAATATGCTATTCACACAGGCAATGACGTTCTGTCTTTTTTCCGGTAAAGAACCATTCACACATCAATTTCAAAATACCGTAAATTATTTTTACGTTTTTGTGTCAAACCTTCACTTTCATGCAGCGCTTTTGGCCCAAAGACATCTTATTAGAGACTTTAGATATTTCTTTGACTTCAATAAACAGCTTGGAGTAAATGCGTCATCTGCATCAGAATGTTATGATTGGCCCTATGTGCTCATACCGGTAATCTTGTTCTGCGTTCACACAGAGCACATTACGGGTAATTTACTGGTAATGTTACAACTTCTCATACCGGTAAATTGCAGGAACGAATTTACCGGTATTTTTGAAAAGGTCCTGTTCACACATGACCTCTTAATGGTAATTTACCAGTAAAACTGTATGTGTGAAAGGGGCTAAGAGCTACTAGATACTAGTGCAAAGGAATAAATGATAACACGGCTTGCCACAGCCACCGTGCAAATTAGGAGATCAATGAAATTGCCTGCAAATATTCGTCCAGTTCGCCCATGGCGGACCCGCGGGGCAAAATATCTCCGACACGGGGCGGAACACCCCCCGCTCCCTCGCGCATGATACCACGGTCCTTAGAATCCAAACAAAGCTTAAATTTCATTGACATGTTTATGTGACAATCCGCCACATTGTAACTTCTGTTGCCACGAGCGACGACGGAACGTTCGCGGCTTCAATCGATAACCACACCAATCAGGCGCGGGATCTGAAATGCACCTTTGTGTGTAAACAGGATTTCTGCGGGAATAATGTGCAGACAGCAGCCCCAGACAGCGGAGGGGTCGCTCGCACGCTCGTTCACACGTAGAGACGGCGGTGCGCTGATGTTTATCCTTACCTTGCTTCACGCACTTCAGCCGGAACGGGTCTTTGCAGTGCTTGATCACGGCCAGCACATCCCTGGTGGTGAGCCCCGCCACCGGTGTATCGTTGACCTCCAAGAGCAGCTCGTCCTGGGACAGCTTGCCGCTCTGGATGGCCACCTTACCCTGCTTCACCTCCCCAAAATAAGGAAAATTGCCGTTCTCGGCGCCCCCTTTCAAGTCGAACCCCAGCTCACCCTCCTTATTCCTGGTGAGCACCGCTTCGTGGACTTTGTTCGTCCAGTGGTTCTTCTTTTTCAGAGTCTTTGACATCGCTGGCAACTGACGACTCGCCTACCAGTGTGCGGCTGCTGGATGGCACCTCATCCCTGCCCCAGTGTGGCGTATCGCGTGTCAGCAGCGGTCCCGAGGCGCGCTCAGATCCTCCGCGGCTGGCCGCTGCTCGTAGTGTCCATGTTGCATGCAGTGGAGTTGCTCTGAGAGCTGCAGCAGCAGTACGCAACTGTATAGAGGAGCACACTCGCTTACACGCTGACTGCCGAGTGACCCGGATGTGATGTCTAGGAGGAGGCAGGAATGCTAGTGCAAGACGAGCGTGCATTCCTCAAAACGGGCTTCACGTAAAAGTGAGCCTTGGACGAAAAGGAAAGGAAGGTGAGCAAAGAAAGCTGGCTCAAACTGAATGTTTATGGTGTTTTTGATTCCCAAGTTTATGGAATCAATCGAGTCGAATCCAAGATTTTAATCAAGACAGATATATTTATAAGAAAAACGTGCAAAGTAGAATTTGATCCAATGTGTGATTTTTTTTTTTGTTCATGTTGTTCGATTGCAGGATTTTTGATTTCCAAGTTTATAGAATCGGTCGAGTCGATTGCAAGATTTGAATTAAGCCAGATATCTAGATTCATAAGAAAAATATAGCAATTATCCTTTATGTGTTTTTATAAGTTATAAATGAATTATTGTTGGTAGTATGACTGGCAAGAACTGCTGTTTTACCGAAATCTGTATGAAGTATAAATAATTTAAAAAATAAAATAAGTATTTTTTAACGAAATCTGTTGAGTGACTTACTCGCATGTAATGCTCCTAAACTGGTCGCCACCTACTGGTGTAGTGACAGAAAGAGTCACCAAATGAATCAGTGAATTAATTTAAGTGAATGGATTCAAAAGATTCGAGTTATTTGAATGAATTAAGTATGGAGTACTCCTATATGATGTGTAATAAAGGTAATGAACACAGTCCTATTTATGTCACGCCCGGACATGTCAGATTTGAGGAATCGACTCTCAATTCCCATCCCAACGACTGGGAATTAAAGAATCGGTTCTTTGAGGGATCGACTCATAACCATAGTACTGTCTAAAGCTCCTTTAGAACAGTTTAGTGAAGTTCAGACTTATTTAAAGAGGGGTACAATGCTGTTTCATGCATTCAGAGTTGTTTACACTGTTAAAGAGTCGGATTCTCATGCTAAGCATGGACAAATTTTCAAAAAACAATTTGGACGTATGACGGAGTATTTAGGAGTTTCACAAGTGTGTTTGTTGATGAACGTTTTATAAGCAAGGCCCAGTTCGATGCTGGATGTGCACATCGTTTGATACTGAAGGATGGAGCGGTCGAGCTATAAAAGATCCCGGTAACTGCAGACGGTAAGTGAAACTGCATCAAATGTCTGTATTTTGTTGGCAGTCGGCGCCCAAATGCTCGTCATTCTTTAGCTCCGCCCACGGCGCGCCTCCAGGAGCTCGGCTTTTTCCGTTAGAGAATCTGAAAGCTGTATCTTTCTTTTATAAATATGATAAAACTAAAGACTTTTTGGAGATATGAAGGATGCAGTACTACTCTATAGGTACTCAAGATTGACATGAGATTGAGTGAAGCTGTGTGTGTTATCTCCCCTTTAAAACGCATAGAGAATACGTGAGAGTCTCAAAACCTAGTGAGATTTCTACCTAGGCAGCAGTTTTGTCCAAAATGCTTTCTAGGTAGGAAGCTCGCTATACACCCGCTGATACAAACGTCCACTATTTCATAATGACATCTTCTAAAATAAAAAACGACAACGAAAACCTTTTGTTGTCATTATTTTTTAATACATGTACAGCTTTTCGAAGAAATTGCAAGGACGTTCGATTCAATATTAAGGGGACTGAGGAAATTTAATATAAGGTTATGTAATAAAGATAAATTATTTTTAACCGACGATCCCATATATTCAATTTCATTATATATATATATATTATTATATATTAATGTAATATATATATATACACATTATATTATATATATTCATATATATTCAGCTCCCAAATTCAACATATATATATATAATTACTATATATACATACAACATATATATAATTTATGTTAGTATAATCAATCATGGCTATTTAAAAATCAATCAACCAGTAAAAAAAAAAAAAAAAAAAAGAGAAAATGTAGGACCATTTATCATAATTAGATCATGCAGATTATATGCAGATTAAGGTGGACAATGTTAGCAGCTCAATATTGTTTTAGGATTACACAGCTTTACTATTTCCAACCATAAAAAGGTCTATATTTATTGCTAGACTTATTTATAGCAGATTTATGGACACATTTTACAGCCAGGATATAAGAGCTATAATAAAAATGTATATTTTCAATATACATCATTAGTTCAAATCCATTAAATAATATACCACACAAGACAACTTATTCAGCAATATATAAATGCTCATAAATCGATCCTAAAAGCTATTGTGCCATGGCATATGCAGTATGCAGAAAATAATTACACCCATCTACAAACACAGAGAGGACTGAAGTTGCTAAAATAGTCAGGCTCATCTATAGTGTCTCACAGGCCTTTTAAATGATCAGTCATTTGCAGCACTACAGCTAAGAGAAGAGGCGTCATCTGTTATGTGGTTGATCAAACAGACTGTTCCAAAGCCCTGCTGCTGTCTGATCAGGATATTGGAGGTCCGGTGTAGTAAAGTATGGATTCTTTTGATCAGTTTCTCCATCTCTTTCCTCTTACCTTCCACTTTATTAGCCGTCAGTTTGATCTCCCCCGGAGCCTGAGAGATTAGTCAAATCACTTACATTTAAATCCAAATCTTACCCTAAAAAGGCCACATGTATGATCTAATGGTGTCAGTTGTGGTTAAGGATGGAGATTGGTACTGTGTGGTTTTACACTTTATTGGAGAGTGTGTCTCAAAATGTGAATCCACATGTAGTGCAAAGAATTTAATACAATTTAAGCTCGCTTTTTAAACTGGAAGTCATCCATGAGATAAATACACACGTACATGTATATATATATATATTAGTGATGCGCGGATGGCGGTTATATCCGCGGGCGCTGCGGATAATCCGCGGATCGGGTGGGTCGGGTAATAAAAAATGCATTCTGATTATTTGCGGGTGGGTCGCGGGTGGATAAAATAAATCAATAATGATGCAAGTATTAACTACATTGTCTAAATTATTAACGTGTTTTAAATAGGCTACAGAAATTGAATAAACTGTAAATTAACATTAAAAGTTATTCAACAACACATTATTTAGTCAAGAGCAGTAAGGGATTTTCTCTGGGTTGGCGGGTGGATAATTTATTTGAAGCTGCGGATTCGGGTGACGTTTTAGCTCATCCGCGCATCACTAATATATATATATGTGTATATGTGTGTGTGACCCTGGACCACAAAACCAGTGAGAAAAAAAAAGTGTTTTTTATTTATCTTACAAAAATGCATGGACTCGCTACAGGAGGCCTTTATTCAGCCCCCGGAGCCGTTTTATTACGGATGCACGCACTTTATTTCACGTCTTCTGAACTGTTGACAACAAACACCCTCTTACCCCCATTTAAAAAGCCTTGGAATAGCCAGGACAATTTTTAATATAACTCCGATTGGATTCGTCTGAAAGAGTGTACAGGTCAACATTATTGATTTTTCTTTTATGCCAAAAATCATTAGGATATTAAGTAAAGATCATGTTCCATGAAGATATTGTAAATTTCCTACTGTAAATATATTAAAACAATTTTTGATTGGTAATATGCATTGCTAAGAACTTCATTTGGACAACTTTAAAGGCAATTTTCTCAGTATTGTGATTTTTTTTGCACCCTCAGATTCCAGATTTTCAAATAGTTGCATCTCAGCCAAATATTGTCCTATCATAACAAACCATATGGGTGGAATGCTTTGAGGGACAGAGGATACATGTTCTAATCTGTACAAAAATCAATTAATCAATCTTTGCACCAAATTCCCATCAGTCCTAAAGTGTAACTTAAAGTCATCCAAATAATTTGCCTGCCTGTTTTACATGACACACTGCCAATGGGAGAAACATTTCTGCCTTGTCCTGTCATCGCCACAAGAGTGCAGTGAGCATCCATGCTTTCAACAACGCTGTGTGAAGCAAAAGCTCTTATAGCTATTCCCGTGGGGGAAATATTGATTTATGGACAACACATACAATTAAAAAAACCTCTATTTAAAGCAAAAACACTTTCAAATGTGCTTTTGGTGCATATGAGGGTGAAGGTTGCTATTTAAAGAACATGTTATGGAATGGACTATTTGCTCAAAAAGTGAAAAGAAAGACTCTTGAAAATATTATTTCAGGATGCTGTTATTTCAACAGCATTTTTATTAGCAAAATAGCGAATATTAGTCAATATCTGTCCCCATCCAATGAAAACCTACATTTAAGGGATGCGAAATTTAAAACCAGTTTAATTGATCATGTTACTATCAGAAAAGACTACTGAGGGCTTCTATATGACATTACATTGCACAGGTTGTCAAATCATGTGTCATGTAACATGGGTATGTGGACCTAGTGCAAAAAGTGTTATAGAAATTCTTTGGTCCCTTTTAATGGATACAAAAATGGTTCCCTTTGGTCAATAAAAAAAAATGCCTATTAAAGCAAAATGTTGACCTTTTGCCAAGTTTTCCATTAAAACAGTTCATGATTTGCAGGTGCAGAGGAACCAATTCATCACCAAATTTCAGGCTCACCAGTTTTTTCATCATTCCAATCACAGGCAAATGTGATGCACACACTTCGCTGGTTATGACGGCTGTGCTCGGACCAGCACAAGGTTTTTCAGAACTATTCTGACCCTGTAAGGAGGTTCAGACATGCTTGGATTTTTTGGGGTTTCAAAATATCTAGCTTTCATAGTCTAGACTAGTATTGAACAGATTAAAGGCGTGTGCCCCCCCCAGGGCAAGAGCAAGTTGATTTTTTTTCCCAAAATCCCTTTGAATGAAAAATACCCTTAAAAAAGGACCTGTAAATCAACGTCTACAAATGGTGAAAACTTCAGCAACAATTACAGTTGTACAAATATTTTACACGAAATGCTCTTTTTTTTCCTAAAATGCAGTAAAAACAAAACAAACAAAAAAAATGTTTGGAGAACATAAATATAAAGTTAAGTAACGCATTCAACATTTAGGTTCATGGTTGACCTTCCTCCTGCTCTAGTTCTCCCAAAGATTTCACATCAGGC